TTCTTATGACAAGTTTTAATTCAACCAGTTATATCACAGGTCTATATGGATGTCTGTATTTTAGTGTAAATTAAATATTGATGTAATTCAGAGTTTTCAACTTGACAGACAAAAATACTTTTTAAACTCTGGGAAGCATTGACTAATTTGAAAACTATAGCTGTGTCACTTGAGAACCGTGCCATGTGCCTGGAATCATTGCCGCTTAGGAATATGAGTTATTCGGTGGGCCAGTATGTTAGTTATTCAGGTCTTTGCTCTGATTTAAGTGAATAGTAAAGTAGACGAAGCTCTTGCTTTCTTATTGTCACCTCTTGTGTGACTGGTGAGGCAGAGGTGCAACAGCTGGAGATTTTGAAGGAGGCCCACCGTGCCATTCTGGTTGTTTTTCCCTTTATTGTAATAGACCTCTGTAGAGCTCATGAAGAGGTAGAAAAGAGAAACCTGTTAGCAGGTGCATTGGTTGCGATCTCTGTTTGTGATTATCAATGACAGGATCCTAAAATTACATCCAAATATCTCTCACAGGTTCTGAAATTGAATTTCTGAAAAAGCACTTGTAGTAGTAATAGAAGGTAAAGTGCAGAGTTCCAGAGAAATGAGCTGTGAATTGAACCTGCAGTGGAAATTGATCCTATCAGTNGGGAAGAGAAGCAAATATCCTGTAACTAGTGGCCCTATGAATATAGTTTATTACCCTGTTACCTTCCTGTAGGAGATTTATATTGTGCCATAGGATGATAGTAATGGTATGCCAGGTTTTTTTTTGGCAGTATTTGTATTCTACTCCCAGAAATGCAGTGTGAGTTGCAATTAGTCTACCGAAATCACACATTTCTGGTTATGAAGTTACCATTTATTTCCTACAGTGATGTATTTCTACAGTGATATCCTTCAGAGTCTCCAGTGATCACCCATATAACTCACTAGAGTCGATGTCCTTGTGGAATGCCTCATTCACAGCAGCACACTAATAGAAAAGGTTCTGCAGGCACATTAAAAATAAAAATACTGTACAACTCTAACTTAAGACGTAATTATTATAAATTTGTTGCTGGATCAGAACTAAGTTTTGCAGAATGGCAGAAGAAAAGAGAAAAAAAATAGAAGCATCAAAATCAGGCAGTTTTCTTAGAACGAGTTGCAAGGATTGTCACATTTCCATGGTCATTGGACTTGGCCAGTCCTCACAGTCATTAAAGGAGGATGCTATCACAGGCACATGGTAGCACAGAGCATTTTGTTTATGTTGTTGGATACATCTGTTTTACTAGCCATTTCCCAACTCTCTTACCCTGCCTTTGGCCCTAGCAAGAGAAAATGGCAGTACTTCATCTGATGTGGGCCATGTTGCCTGTGTCATGGTTTTGATTCCACCTCTCTCTTAAGCTCTTGACTGATGGGAGAAGTGATTAGGAATCGGAGAGTCAAAGTGGCCTTCATCCCTACCCCTGTTGGTACGATTCATTCTTACCCCAGTTGATATTGACTCTGCCTTGTTGATGTCAACATATTAGCAGACAGAACTATATCTACAGGCAAATGCCTGCAAAGGGCATGAAGGGAAATGCTCTGTTTGTAAGAGCTTCTATAAGATGGTTTTGTTTTGGTTAACCCAGAACTTAAGATGCAAGCCAGTGAGTGCAAGCCTCCTTTCGTCTGAGATGTGAACCTCATGCCGCCTCTGTCTCTATCTAGTTCATTAGTTACCACTCCCAACAGGGGGGACTTTGGAGCCTTGGTCATAGTGGTGGTTGTTTTGTGCTGTGCTTAGCTGTTTTACTTGGCAAATGCATAGAAAGTGTGAGATGTAATCTTACTGTGAGGGAATTCTAAGAGGTATAACCAAAAGGAAGGGAGCATGCATTTCAAGAAAACTTGACCAGGAGACAGACTGAACCCTTTGATTTTTAATCCCAGGGCTTAATTTAAGTATGTATTTTCTTGGCTAAGGAATATTGAGATAATGCATGCTTATTTATGCAGTGGAAAATACTTTGCCATTGAAATTAAGTTAGAATTGCACTGCTTGTTTAAACTAATATCTGAAGCATTTAGTCATTTCATTAGTAAGCAACAGTGATGAAAACCTTGGGAAAATGCTTTAGAACAGTCCTTGTGGAGACCTGTGATTAATAAGGAAGAGGGTGAAGAG